ATATATATAAAGAAATATAGTTTTAAGGTGTGCTATATTTATGGGATAAAGTGCTCAATATCAGAGATAGAGCGTATATAAATATAAATATAAAAGTGAACAAGAAAGAGGTTGTAGTGGTTCCAACGAGAGAAAAGTATGTATATTAAAAAGAAGAGAAGAGAGGTGCTGCAAACGTTTTTGGTTGTAATGTGGATTTATTTAGAAAAAATATTATGCTTTGTTTTACATAATTTTACGACACGTGTTTCTGGTCTCGCGACCGTCTTCAGGTAAAAGCGGAGATTTCCACATATTATTAAAAATAATTAATTTTTTCTTTTGTTTTTCAATGTTAAATATTCTCGATATGAGACATTCTCTGTTTTTGTGTTAGTAATCCGAATTTCTTACTTGAATTGGCAATGAAGAGTTCTGTGCGAAGAGTCATAAAACAATTAAGGTTGGTCCAGCGAAATGATGAATTACTTATCGGCATTTTATCTTTGAATGTTTTACTGACCCCTATGTGTTCTTAGATCTCTTTCCATTTTTGTGTGTTTCTGTCAGCATGCGTGTATATATGCGTGCGTATATTTCCCCATACATATACTGTCTTACTACGAGGAATTAGTAAACTCATTTGTACATATACACACATACATACACACACATACGCACATACACACCATCCCACCACAAGAAATCAGTACACACACACACACACACACACACACACACACACACACACACACACACACACACACACATACACACATATATACACACATACTTCCCAAGCTACATGGAACCAGTATTCACACACACACACGCACGCACATACACACACACTGAATAATATACTAAAAACAACCAAAATAATTAAAAGCAAACACCAATCTAAAAACCTAAAACACATATTAACCTCATCTAATTTTAACCAACACACAATACAGGGAGTCACAAAATGCAACAAAAAAAGATGTGGGGTTTGTGACATCATTATAGAAGGAAATTCCTACACTTTTGAAAACCCCCCAAAAAAATTCACAATAAATAAAAATTTAAACTGCAACTCCAAAAATGTAATTTATGTACTTAAATGCACAAAATGTAAGAAGTCATATATAGGCATCAGCCAACAAATGAACAACAGGGTCTCCCTACACAAAAGCAATATAAAATTGCCAGACAACAGAAAAAATTTTGTATCACAATACATTTTCAAATGTAACCAATTAAATTTAATATCATGCCGATATATCAAACAGACAATTACTCGTACCTACAAATACAGGAAAAAAACTTTATAAACAAATTTAAATCCGAACTAAATAGATCATAACCCCACACACAAAAACACACAACATGCACACAGGGTGAGCAAATAAATGATCAAATCACTCACATACATGAACGCACGCTCATATACGGGAGACACGAGGATATATATATATATATATATACATTTATATATGTATATGCGGATGTTGACAAAACAGGGAACTACTCACGAGCACACATCCAAACCCCACACAACTTAAGAAGTACGTGTGTGTATGTGTGTGTGTGTGTGTGTGTGTGTGTGTATACTGGTTCCATGTAGCTTGGGAAGTATGTGTGTATATGTGTGTGTGTGTGTGTGTGTACTGATTTCTTGTGGTGGGATGGTGTGTATGTGCGTATGTGTGTGTATGCGTGTATATGTACAAATGAGTTTACTAATTCCTCGTAGTAAGACAGTATATGTATGGAGGGGAAATATACGCACGCATATATACACGCATGCTGACAGAAACACACAAAAATGGAAAGAGATCTAAGAACACATAGGGGTCAGTAAAACATTCAAAGATAAAATGCCGATAAGTAATTCATCATTTCGCTGGACCAACCTTAATTGTTTTATGACCCTTCGCACAGAACTCTTCATTGCCAATTCAAGTAAGAAATTCGGATTACTAACACAAAAACAGAGAATGTCTCATATCGAGAATATTTAATATTGAGAAACATAAGGAAAAAATTAATTATTTTTAATAATATGTGGAAATCTCCACTTTTACCTGAAGACGGTCGCGAGACCAGAAACACGTGTTTGTAAAATTATGTAAAACAAAGCATATTTTTTTCTAAATAAATCCACATTACAACCAAAAATGTTTGCGGCACCTCTTTTCTCTTCTTTTTAATATATATATATATATATATATATATGAGGAAGGGTATTAAGTAATAAATCAGAAAAAGTGCTCAGTGCTAAGCTGAGCAAAAGAGCCATGGTGGAGGGGTTTGCCTTTAAGGCTAACAACAACACATAATCTTTTACATTACCCTGATGCAATGAGACCCTACATTACAGAGCAGTTAATAAGGTATGGAAATAAGTAATTCTAAAAAGAATTTACTTAAGGATTCACATCGAAGAGGGTAGAGAGCTCTGTAGTAGGCATAATGGCTGAGCTAAATTTTTTAAACTAACTTCCGGTAAAGCAGCGACCAACCGACCATGACTGTTAGTTTCATGCGTAGCGTGCAATTTTCAGGTGGATAATGTTGCCTATTCTCGATCAGATTACGCCTTCTTTGGAGAATTTCGTCTTAGCATCCGCAAACTGATTAGACAATTGGAAATGATCAGTATAAATATAAGTAGACACAATATGTCTATACGACTCAATATATATATATATATATATATATATATATATATATATATATATAAAATAGTGTAGTGTCATTAATATTATAAAGAAGTAGACATACATAGAATAAATCAGTAAAGTTAATGTAATTAATGGCGAATTCACTTCGCTAACAGATTTAATAAAGCATTAACTTACTAACCACTCGTTGAATGACGATATATGTATATCATTAATGCATGTTTCATTAAATAATATAGACAAGTTTTGTCTATTTATTTTAAGTTCCTTTCATATTGTCTGATAACCTTAATTACATTATCGTTGAAAGACGAAAGGAAAACACCATATTGATACATGTTTAAATCCAATCTAAACTTTCGGCTTACATAAACCATTATCAAAAATGACAATTTCAATAAATCAAACAACACACGGACGAAACAACAATGATAGTCCGCACTTGCTGCATGAAAAATTTCCAAGTAACGACAAACTCGTATATAGGAAACGCGGAAGTGAAAATCGTGTCGCAGCTCGTGACGTCGCACATGACCACGCGAGAGTGAAAAACGAGAAGTATTAAGTATGGGAAGCCATTGGTATAAACCAATGGCTTCTGTTATAAATTATAGGCATTTAAGTATATTTGCGGAGATTTCATATTTTATTTTGTTCAGGTTAGGTTTCAACTGTTTTATGTATAAAGCTTCAAGAATTTTTAATTTTTGTTTATTGTTTTCATGTTTTTCATGTATATAACACTTACAACAATAAAATTTGTGAATTTCCACATCACTATATTCAAAAACGTTCTCACTTACAATATTCAAAATAAAAATCTAGCGTCACGACACTGCACCCTCTACACATTTTGTAACTTAATAAGACACTTTAAAAAAAAAAATCTTTCGACCTGTACTACATGTATTTTCTTCTCTGGATTTACCTGAAATTACCTGTAATTGAAAAATAATATCCATGCCTGAAGATGATAAAAGGGTTTATCGAAAGTACTTGAAATTTCACATTTCTTGAACGACGAAATCGACTTTATTAAGGATACCCTAATTTTGGTTATCCTCTTGATACTGTTAATTCAGTTATCTGTAGTAAAGTTGAAGAGTTCAGAAGTGCCGAGCTCTACACTGTCAAAAAACGCCCAGTTTACCTCAGATTACCCTGGATTGGTACCAAATGTGAAAAAATAGCTAAATAAATTTCATCCAATGTTCGTTGTTTTTTCTCTGCTGAAGTTCGGATTATTTTTCAAACTCGGCCTATGTTTCGATCTGCGTGTAAAGACATTTTCCCTCCCCATCAAATTAATTCAATTATTTACAAATACGTTTGTAGTTGCGGAGCCGACTACATAGGGAGAACAACTCAACGCTTAGACATGAGAATAAAACAACACGTTCCTACAAAAATTAGAAACCACACCTTGCCTTTGAATGGACTCGTCACGAACACCTATAGTTCCGCCATATGCGAACACCTATTCAAGAAAAGAGATTGTGCAGCCAAATTTAGTGTTGACTAGTTCACCGTGTTGGCCCGGTCTCACTCTTCATTTCATCTAAAGGTCCTGGAGGCACTTTACATCGGGTCCCGCAAGCCTTCTTTGTGCAAACAACGTGAGTGTTTGTTGGGACTCGCTGTCATTTTTCTCTAGTTCCTTTTTATTTTTTTTTTATTTTTTTACAATTCCTTTTATTGTACATTTTTCTGTGTTAACTTTAAATCTCCCGTTGAAGCCTGAAGAGCGGGAGCGAAACCGGTGGCTTCACCCGTTTTTTTTTAATATGTCTCGTAATATTAAATTTTATACTTTTATTTCGATCATTAAATTTTGTACCTACAAAATATCTTTAAATATATATATATATATATATATATATATATATATATATATATATATATATGTGTGTGTGTGTGTGTGTGTGTGTGTGTATGTATTATTGAGTTGAGATTTATTTTTTGTCACCAGTTGCCGGTGTTCTAACCACGACCGAGGCCATAATTACGAAGTTCAACATTGGCAGCGAATCAGGTTCTTTGGAACACTGACTCAGCAAAATCTCCTTCTCGTCACTGAGTACATGTACTTGTAAAATATAAAATTCTTACAGAACATCAATAGTCCTTTCTATTCTCTCTCTATATATATCAATCTATGTATGTCTGCCTGTCTTTATGTGTGTGAGTGTGTGAATCGCATGCACCTAAAAAAAGGTGTGCTTTAAGCATTTTCCTGTTTCAAATCTCAATTTGATTAACCAAGCAAAGATGATGATGATGATGATGATGATGATGATGAGGATTTGCTTATTTAATCTCAGAGCCGGACGCAGGGTGCACAAGAAAGTCAGATCGATGAATAGAAACAGCATCCCTGCTTGCAACGAATCAGTAAGAATGAAAAGAAAATTAAGAAGCACTTTGAAAGAGAAGGTCAGATACGATATATAGACATTTCTTTTCTGGTTAAAAATATACAAGGATCAAGGAAAAGGATGACTGCAAGGCGAATAGATAATGTCTATATTAGTCTGACTCGATTTACCTATCTATAACATTATTTATTACAATTTTTTCCTATCTATCTATCTATCTATCTATCTATCTATCTATCTATGACTGTTCATATCTATATATCAATCTATATATCTATAACAGTCTGTTCATCTCTCTCTCTCTCTCTCTGTGTCTCTCTCCACACACACAAACACACACACACATGTATATATATATATACATATATATATCACAGTCTGTTCATTATCTATCTATCTATCTATCTATCTATCTATCTATCTATCTATGTTCATTATTTATGTCCATATTCATCATCTGTTAATATCTATCTATCTCACTCTCTCTGTCTATATATATATATATATATGTATGTGTGTATATATATATATATATATATCAGTCTGTTCATTATCTATAACCTCGCTCTCTCTCTCTCTCTATATATATATATATATATATATATATATATATATATATACAGTCTGTTCATTATCTATCTATCTATCTATCTATCTATCTATCTATCTATCTATCTATCTATCTCAGTCTGCTTATATTTATCAAGCTCTGTTCATATCCTGTATTTCTACATTACTCTTTTTACAGCTTATTTCAAAATTTTCATCTCAAATGTGTGCTAAATAATATGTATCTCTGTTGTATGTGTGCATGTGTGTCGTCATGTGTGTGCGCGTGTGCGCGTGCATTCGCGCCTGTGTGCGTGTGGCTGCGTACTTTTCAGCGTTCTTTCTTCACATAGCCGACGGTAGGCTACACTCTACCGGCATTCAAGTATCCAGAGACATATGCAAACGTTAACCCTCTTCCTATTTCCGCTATCCTACATTTCCACTCTTTTTTTTCCCGCCAAAACACTCGATGCATCGGCAGCCATGACAACGTTCGCCCATACCACCCACAGCTTGCAATTCTATCATCAGGAGCAGTAGTGCAAGCACGACCACCGCCTTTACCAGTGATTAGAATACCAGCTGCAGTAGCAGCCGTCTCCACCCTTTCAGAACGTGTGAGGTCGGGAACCAGGGTTGGGGGTAGTGTACAAAAAAATGATGGCACAGGAAAATAACGTTGGGTTGGCGACACGGACATCAACGAACCGAATGACAACGATTTTTCCCCCTTTCCCTCTTCTCTCCTCTCCTCCTCCTCTCTCCCCTCCTCTCCCCCTCCTCTCTTTCTTTCTCTCTCTCGTGCACATACACCTAAAGAAAGTGTGATTAATTTTACACACAGACACACATTCAGTATTTTTAGTTCTAGAACACATATTCACCCACACACATTTCGAGACAAGACTCTATTCCATTTTATTTAAGTGTATGTATAATATTGACAACAAATTTATGCCCATGCGTAATGTAGATTTTGCAAGTATAATTCTGATCGGTAAGAGAACAAATACTCAGAGAATTATTAAAAATAAAGAGTATCACCATTCCGGCAACAAACTATTAATCTCAAACTTAGTCTAAACTTAGAAATGTTATTTATTCATAAAAAAAGTATCCCGTGATCCGTCAGGCTTAAAAGAAAAAAGTTTTAAACAATATTTTTAAAAAAAATTGAGGCAAATTTTTCTCTTACTTTAACCCTTAGGGTCCTGAATTCCTGAATAATTTTAACTCTTCTTCCTGAGTCAAAATTCGCAAATAATTGATATGTAATGTTTTACGGTAGATATAAAAAAATAGTTACAAGTGTTTACTCATCGTTCAACCGACAGCTGGGCATTAAGTCATTTTTCTCTACCATTGTTCAACCGGTGGCTGGGCATTACGTCATTTTTCTCTACGACCGGTAAAGCGGTGGTCAGAGCACAAAGGTTTAAGCATGGAGTGCTTAACCCTTTGGAATCACTAGAGGAAAAAATGAATATAAATTATTCGGTTTCGATATTTAGACAAATCATAAACATGGCTTTGTCGTCGCCGTCTATTATTTTTCTGTTGCAAATCTTTTACTTCTGATAAACATTTCAACTACACTGTTATATTAAACACATACATTTTTAACGTGAAAAGATATTGAGCAAAAAGCGATTTATATTTATATGGAAAATTATTAAAAGCTAACAGTTTAAACAAAAACGATTTAACTAAATATCGAAAATGTATAGTTTATATACATTTTTCTTTTCACTGTGAACTGGATGGTGAAGACAAGGGTAAAGTTTTCTTTAAAATTCTTAAAGACTTTAAAAAAATTGTTCAAAACTAAGTTAAAACATTATTATTATACATTTCTTTTACTTTTTCTTTTTGAATGGCCAGCGACCAAACCGGCTCCCGGCTCCCTGCTCCCCTCTTTAAACGGTGTGAAAAGTGTGGTTAGCGAAACTGTGGACGTAGAGCAAGACCTTCCAAAGGGTGGAAGAACTTTGATGAGTCAAGAAGGAAATGAATGGGTCAAATATTAATATTCTAGGGTTATGTGAAACTAGGTTGGCAATTAATGGGGATTTCGTTAGCAATGAACACAGGGTGATGTATGCAGACGGAGAGAAAGATGAAAGAGGAGTAGGACTTGTACAAAAACAATGCATGAAGAAATGTGTTCTGAGATACTGCTAACTGTTCGATAGAATTCTGCAGGAATTCCTAGGGAAGGTAAAGCGTAAACAAAGGACTAAGCTTCAATTGTATAAAGACAGGCAATATGGTTGTCAGCAAACGGAACAGCCCAAGATGCAAGCTTTGAATTGGAAAAATCAAAATCAAACAAGTACAGAAATTTAACTATGTGGAAAGGGTTTGAACAGATGACAGGAATGTGACGTCGTCCCCCGGTCGCAGCGCCGACTGTGACGTTCTATCCTGATCTACCACGGCACCAGTTGTGACGTCCCCAAACAGCACCAATTGACGTCCTCGCCGTGGCGCCAGCTGTTCGCCCTCGCTGCTCCGTTCGGGTGTCGCTGCTCCAAACGTGACGTCCGCCTGTCGCGTCAGTCGTGTTGTCTCGTCCTGTGACGACCAACTGGCTTGGTATCGGTCGCGGCACCCAAATGTGACGTTCTAACCTTTTGGTGATTCGGTTGGGAATCTGGTTAGATTTGATATCAGCCTCGTCGTTCCCAACTCGCTTCCAACGCCTGGTTACCAAGGTAACTGCACTGATCTCCAGTCTGCCTACCCACGTTGTGAATTGATCTTAGGCAGACGAGATCAAACAGTGGTTGGGGCCGTAATGCAAACTGAGTTCAACGGGGTTGATACTACACAAATATGCATAAAAGAAAACAAAATGAAAACTCAAGAAAGTTCAAAGTATCAAAGAAAAAGGTAACAAACTTTATGTCTAGTTGTTCGATACATAGGACTGCATCTTCTCCCGACCCGTTCTGTGGATTGTGACACGTCGTGGATGGGGCGTCGACAGCCTTCTTCGTGCGTCACGTGATCACAACTCGGCCAATGAGGTCTTGGTCGGGTATCTTTCCTCCTCCTTCGTGCGTCACGTGATCACCACTTGACCAATGATGTCTTAGTCGGGCGTGAACAATCCGTGGCTTTGTTTCGGGAAAAAAAATATATCTTGCTTAACTAAAAAAAAAAAATAATCTCTTCTCTTTCCCTTTTCTTCCTTTCAATCGCCGTTATCACCCTTCTAGTCGCAACGGACAATATGACAACTCTTGTTTTGCACGTGGTGTTTGTCAGGTATTTTATCGCTAATTTATCAAGATGGGTGGTCTTCTTAACATGGCTTCAAAAAAGAAATATCCCCAAAGTTTTCAGTCAGTCTGTCGCCTCCAAGGAAGAAAGAAAAACACTTCTGGGTCCCCATTCATTTTCCTTCGGTACATATTCCTGATAACATAATTTTATTATCGCAGGCCAAAGTTGTTTCGTCGAAAAAATTCGGTCAGCGGCACTGCTTGTGTGGCATTTAATTTTTCATATCTGTCCAAAGTCCTTTTTAGTGGCCTGTTTCTTGTCACTTATCGAAATAGCATTTTCACTTGAATTTTTCCCTGGCCAGTGGTCCAGCCGTTCGTTTACGCACCTAGATAACACAGCCGTTATCAAAACACATCTGATTCCTTCTTTCTTTCGATTTCTTTTTTTACTCAGAAATTCCCTGTCATTGTAATGACACCCTTTTTCATTTGTTACTTATCAATATTTTCATTGTCTCTTAGCCGTGTGTGTGGCTGCTTATCACCTACGATTCGTCTCGCCTTTCTTTCTGCCTTCTTTTCTTTCTCTTCCTTTCTCTGCCTCGTAAATGGTGCCACAGGAAATATGACACTGAGATCCGAAGTGGTTTCAAAATAACGAAAGTTGCCTTCGAAAAGCTAAGCAAAGTATTAAGAAACAGGGTATTGTCGTTATATATAGATAAAAGCGTTCTGAACTGCTATGTAATATAAATCTTCCGATACGGCTGGACAATTTCCTCGCAGATGAAGAGGAGACTTGAGGCAACAAAGATGTAGTTCAACAGAAAAATTCTGAATGGTCAGTACATGTGAATAATTAGGAATTCTTAAGGGAAAAAAAATGGCACATACTTGAAACTTTTGAAACACCTAATGAGGAAAGTGGGTTTGGAGAATTTGACACGACCAGTATATACTGAGACCACTTGCAGAGGAAAAGAGCCAGTCGACTTAAATCGACTTAATGAACATGTACATGACAGTCAGAACTTTGCTAAGTGCTACAAAGGATAGAGGGCGACAACTTTTCTTACATTAGAGAAAAACCGTGTGTTTATGTGCGGCAAAAACAAGAAAAATCGTTCCTCCTGTCAATATGAAAGATAGAAGCTTAGAGAATTTACGATCTTCGTCACGAAAGGAAATACACATCAACATGACTGAGGAAGCTTCATCATATCTCTGCTTTATATATGCCAAATTACTATTCTCTCTCTGTGACTCTCTCTTTATTTCTCTCTCTCTCTCTCTACATATATATATATATATATATATATATATAGAATACATAAAAAGTTAATGGATCAGGCCAGGAAATAATAGTATTAGAAAGTGCTCAACACACGTGTGAAAAAATAAAATAAAGCTTTTAACTTTAAAAATTAGATCAGCTGTATCCTTGGTTTCAAACTTACGGTGGACCCAAGAGATTTTTATGAAATGACCTTTTCTAGCTTTATTTTTTAAAAACTAATGAACGCTTCATTATTTTTTTTTAAATAAATAAACAAACGCACGACATTGGGTGTGATACAAAAGAAGGAGGTGGATTTAACAAAGAAAGGAGAATAAAAAAAAGAGGGAAAAGAAGAAAAGCAATAAATGTAAATAAATGTATTGGTGGGGGGGTGTAACTGAAACGTACATTTTTTTTATCCTGCCTCATATGTACTTAAAGGAATTGTTTAATATGTATGCAAGGACTCAAGTCTTCGGATTTCTAGTTCAAAAGATTCTTTGGATCCGGAAATTATCGCTAATTTTTCCTGTTGGCAGAGGTTGCAAACATTGCGTTGGTTGGTATAAGCTTTCGTCTTTTTAAAAAAATTTCTAGCTTAAAATCGGATCCCTGCAGTTTTTTCTTTTAAATTCCACACATGCATAGCTAGTTTTGGATTTTTATTTATTTACTTTTATTCATTTATTTTACTTCAATTTTCATTTTTGATCGTTTTCAGTTTTCGATTTTTAAGTGACATAATAAAGCTTTGTTTTCGTGTAGGAATTTTGAGATCAGCACTGATCGTTTATTTATCAGTTTGCGTTGATCTGAGAAGGTAATTATAGTTATTTCCCCCTCCAGACAGAGTTTACAGTTTTGGGATTTATTGTTGTAGGACAATACCGTTTCCCTTGATACTTTTAGTGTGATTTGTTTATCATTTTTTATTTTTCCCAGATGTTTAGAAATGATTGTACTGTTCGCGTATTTACTATTTTTCTTAGGTTGAAAGTGACACCTAGAAAATCTACTTCTTTTTGGCTGGTTTTTATGTCTATGTCGAATCCCATATTTTTAATGGTTTTATGATAGTTTTTGTACTTTTGGTCTATTACAGTTTCTTAAGATTGTGAGACCGTCGTCCCTATAGAAGCCTATATCATTTGATCGATTATTTTACTTACTTCGTGCAGCAAATCGGATACTTTAGGCATTAGTGTATACTAGTGTAACCGGGGTGTATGAGGTATATCGTCTGTGGTAGTACCTTTGCGGCAAAACGGTCGACCCTGTTTTACTCAGGTGAATTGGGATGCGGAAATGTACTGGTCCAC